TTGTTTCCAACCTTGCGATTCTGTGATTCTGTGATTCTAATATGCAACCTTGCTACAGGCATCTTGCTAGGGCACAGCTGGTCTCAGTCCAGGCTAGAATCGTGACTTTCAGCTCAGTGTTGGTTTGGGTTCAACAAAGTGCCAATGACCCATTTCAGGTTTAATTCTGCATAATGTGGAAACAATGGATTGGACCTTTTTTTTTTTTTTTTTTTTTTTTTTTGAGTTCTGTTCTACTGCCACACAGTGATAATTGTTTATCAGTAAATTATCCTGCAACACCTCCATTTCTGCCTACAGAAAAAGGACCAGAGCAGCCACCTGCTGTAACAGTTTGTCACCACACAGCCTTGGGTTAGACGCTTGACAGGAGCGATGTAGAAAAGCCTGGAGCGAGCAATTATAACAATAACTCACCCCACAAGGAAGTTTAATCACTCAGTTAGGAGGGAGGCTGGATGCACCCACAGGCAGAGTGCATGACCCTGTGCAAGTGGGACGGATGATCAGACACTGGAGCATGTGGGATGGATGAACAGCACACACCTGTGGGGTGCCAGCACAATGTCCCCTTATGGCATGCATCAGTGACAATTAGCATCCTTACCTTGGTGTCTTTGGGGGCACGTGCACTGCACCTTTCTCAAGAACTCACAGGTTTTCCCACCTGCTCTAACAGACACGTTTAGGACACCCTGATACGCACTGAGCAGGGGAGGAACATGTTGCAACAAATGTTGTGCCTTACCAAGATGTGCTGAGGCAGGGGAACTTTGTTATTTACCTGCTTACTTCTCTTTGGAATAAATACATTGTAGAATAGGCAAACTTCCAGTTTCTTGAAAATTGATATGAAAATAAAAAAGCGGTCTGATGGGGACAGGCCTCTGCAGGAGCCAAGACACTCTGGGAAAACGCCCAAGGTCTCTTAGCAGTTCTTGAGTTTCACCCAAGCCCGAGAAACAGATGGGTGATATCTGGGATCCTTGGGCCCGTCCTGTCCCAGCTCAGCTCACTGCTCTCAGGGTCAGACCCGTTCCAGACAGACTGCATGGATATTTCTCAGCCCTGTCCTGAACAGCTGCATAAAAGCTGATCTCTAACACCACATCAGTAACGTACCTTCATATTCTAATAACAATGCACTGAAGCTCGAGGTGTTGAAAAAGGAATTCTGCATTTGTTCAAAACACGCACATACATGCACAACATCGAGATTCTCATCACACGCTCAGCAGGCACGCCTGAGCCTTCCTGCATGTTTCCATGCCAGTCTTGTGAGCAGCACACTCAGCCCTAGTGCCCGGCACTTCTTTATTTTCACATGTGTACATAAGCTCCGGTGGGGAGGAAACAAAACTGAAATTGCTTTTCTTCCCACTGTGTGCTCACTGCACATCCCTGTAACCTTTGCTCGGGACGGTGCTTTTATGGCAGGAGGTGCAGCGGTGATTGACACACGTTCCACCAGTAGAGTGCACACCAGGTAAGCCTGCAGCGCACCAGGGATTACAGAAAGCAACACACATGCATTTGGCTGGGTGTTTTCCCCGTAACACCTCACACAAGCATGCTGAAGGTCCCCGTGCACCCTGCAGGGCTGTCCCAGATATAAGCACGCTTTCTGCCTGCATCTGGGCAGCCCTAAGCAGGTCTAAGGGCAGCCACTTCTTACCAAAAGCCCTCAGCTTCCTCTTGCCAGTCCAGTCCCATGCCATGCTGTCCCACAGCTTTCTGCTTGGTCTCGTGCTATTCACACTTCTTGAGCACTGACTGCTTGAAAAGCACTAAGTCTATGAAGAATGCCTAGCTACACTAGGTCTCCGCCACCACAAAGAAGTTTACGGTTGTCCAAAAATTTTGCTTACCTTCTCTTCTCCTGCCTTCTCTCTTTGATTCTGTTCAGTATCTGCTCTGTTTTATTTCCCTCATCATTTCATTACTGATATTAACTACAGCTATCCTGCACAGATTCGGGAATAAAGGTGCTGAACAATGAGCCCTCACATTTCTGTGTATCTCTGCACTACGCACCCATTTTCTGAAGGCAGGGCTGCACAGCCAACACCACCACAGACAGCACTATTTACTCTCCTAGAAAGATCCCTATTCTTGTGTGAATCTACGCATCTGCCTTGATTAAATTATCACATTCTACGATTTCTTTCAGTATCCATAGCTATTTATATTACCTTCCAAAAAATAATTGTTTGGAACCAGTTAAGCCTGTACATGAATTCTGCCTTTGTTTAAAACACATTGTACATATGTATATATTTAGACCGTCATTAAATATTAAATAAGAGGCTGTCTTCAAACTTCAGCACCACTGCTTGCTTGCTTAACCCTTTGTGAAAGGGAAAGTTCAAAGCTAAAGTCCTTCTGAGCAAGTTTGGGAACTGGTGGCAAAGTCTGACTGACAGAGCCAAAGGCATTGTGGAGAAACCAGAGGTTTTCTTTGTTTTCCTCTAAGTTCTGCTTGCTAGTAGTCTAATCATAACAATGCAATTCATTTTGGTCTGCTTTATCTGCTGAGATGCGTAACTGGGATGCAGATTAATTAACTGTAACATACAGACGGATCTTTCAGCACAATTCAGGGAGTCTAACACACACATACTATCCTCACCTTCCCCCCAGTGAAAGAAGATGCTTTTATATTTCCCATGGGTAAGGAGGGCACCTTTCTTAGCTCTGTCATGTTCCCAGAGAGGAAGGAATATAACCTGCAGACACACAAACCTTGTTCAATCTACTGTGCAGTAGATAGATCTCCACAATGAGTAACTTACAGTGTGTGCTGCGCTGAGGGTAACAGAACACACCCCACCTCACTGACATGAGATCACTGTGTTTTACAATCTGACCACCTGGTCAACCCAGCTCAGTCAGCTCTGCCCCTCGCATCGAGCCAACACATCAAGGCCAGCCCTCCATGGAGAGGGCATCGATGCTCACCTCAGCCCTGCAAAGTGCTGCAGCATAGGAGCAGTAGAATGCTCTGTGGCCCTCCCAGTCCTACATGGACATGCAATTATGTGCATCTTGGAGAACGCGCTTACCCTTTCCCCGATTAAAACCTCAAAGACACATTGTTGGACCTGAGCTGAACAAGCCCTACAAAAGCTTTGTGTGTGTGGTTCTCAAGGCCCACAGAGTTTTCTCAGGCCAGCAAAGGTCCAGCTTAGAGACACTTCCAAGCACCACAGTCCTACTGATGGTCAGCTGCCAGAATAGTCTGAGCGGAGTCCCTGAGCCTTTGCCCAGCAGAGCAGTTACATGCCCTTGGGATGTGACCTTGTTAGGTTTATGGAGCCAACAGAATTCCAGGTGGGGTCAGTGCCCTAATGGTGAAGCAGAACCGAGCATCAGCAGATGGCACACGTGGCTGCTGGCTGGCACTGAGCAGCACAGGGCAGCAGCACCACAGAGGGATGCTCTTACCAGACACGAGGCCAAAGGGCTTCAGTAACCGCTCGGTATGGTGTCTGAGCACCAGGAGCTCAGTGTGCCTCAGCTCTTTGTATCATCTCATTTTCTGGTAATAATCTTCTTTCACTTCCTGTCTTACCCGGCGGCGCTGTGAGGGAATGCAGAAGCCACCACCAGCACGGCACAGCTGTGTGCCAGCAGGCAGCATGGCACACCTCTGGGGGCTGTGTGTGCACTCAGCCCTGAGAAACAGGCAGCAAAACGCAAAGCTTAGGAGGAGAGCTGTATCTTGTATTAGGACTAAATGCTACGGCTGGGGGGGAAAAAAAGTTCTTACTCATGTCAAACAACGGCCGGTGTTTGTTTTTGTGACAACCAGACAACGTGGAGCACAGTAAATAATGCAGACCTTTCGTATCTCACAGCTGGCTCAGATTGCTCCTCCTCTGCCAAACGACAGCACACCCTGAAGGCCACGGTCACAGCTCTGCTCTCCCAGTGCCCGCAGGGAGACCCATGGGACCCCTGTCACCAACGGCGCGAATTCAGCTCAGCATCTCCACGCTGCTTCTGCTTTTCATTCTGTATCCCCACTGGGTTTTTTCCACGCATGCATCATTGCATCCCCAACCACTAAAAGCTTTCTAACAGCAAGTGGCACTAAACGCCTAGCATTTTGCTGCTGCCTCCCCACTCCGGGGCAGATTTACCAGGATGGACCCACATTTTGGTGTTCTCAAACCAAACCCTCCCAGCCCCCGTGGCCGCTTTCGGTGGGAAGTGAGCGGCCGACGGGAAGTTCTGCTCAGCGCCGATGCCATGGGAGCTCCTCCACCACTCCTCCCCAGGAGCGTTTCCACCCACGCTCACAGAGCGTAGCAAAGCCCTTCCCGCAGCCCCACCACGCGCCGCTGGCTGCACGGCACAACGCCGCTCCGCTCGATTCAGCGTCTGCCTCCTTCAACGTGGAAACCGTTCTCACGGAAAACTTCACTCTGCAGGCAGTGGTGCTGGTCAGCATTTAGATCGACTGCGCAGCTTAATCAGCACGGCAGCGCTGGGGGTAGTCCCTCAGAAGCGATTTTCCCAGCAGCTCTACACACAAACCTGAAAAGCATTCAGGAAGGTAACGGCACGGCGATCCGGTACTGCCGGCACAGCACAGGAGACAGCCGGGACACGGAGCGCTAAACACAAACCGCGCTCACAGCGCTCACCCATCCTCACACACAGATGTAGGCACTCGCACGCAGGGCATCAGCACAGCGTTTCCCTTCCCTCCTTTCTGTCCGGCGTTGTCAGCTCCGGCCAAGAGCCGCGAGGCTGTGACACCCGGCAGCGACCGGTGTGGCAGCACCAGCCCTTGGCCTCCAACTCTTTCAGCTCCGAGGCAGGGCTGCGAGAGGGCACTGCTCGGGGAGCGCCAGGTGCACGGCATCCCCAGCAGCACCTCTGCCGCCCAAGGGCCACGGACACTCTGCTGGGCACGGTCTGCTGGCCGTCACCGCGCGGAGCAGCCACAGACACACCGACCCACCCGCGGGACCCCGGCTTCAGCGCTCACTTACTTCTCGTATTCGGTGTTGTCTCTATCGCAGCGCGAATCCTTGTGCTTTTGCCAGTCTTTGCCGTGCTTGCAGGTGGTCAGGAGGACAACGTCCTCCCCGTTGTGGACGTGATATAAGGCATTCCTGGTGTCTGACCCTATCCCTGTCAGGTACCTTTTCCCCTTGAATACCAACATGTACTTCCTGAGAGGAGGGATGGTGTTAAACCTCAAAAATCCCTTCTCCCCTCCTGTCCTAGGGTGATCCTTAGAAAAGAGCGGAATAGAAACATCAAAATTGGGTCTGAAGTTCTCGGTGCTGATGCTGGCTTTGGCCAGCATGGCCTGCCCGATGTCAAAGCCCACGTCCTCGGTGTAGTCGGGCCAGGTGCCGGAATATAAATTAAAAATCAAGTGATTTCTCCCATTGTTCCACAAGTGGAGGCTCTGCACTTTGGAGCGGAGGTTGTGCACGTACTGCGGGGAGAGCTGGTCCCGGTCCAGCGTGTCCAGGCTGAGCACGAAGAGACACGCCTGGCTGGGGTCGGAGGTGTAGAAGCGGGAGCCCTCGATGGCCGCCAGGACGTTCTGGTAGCTCTCGGCGATCTTCTCCCCCTTCTGCTGCGGGTACACGTAGACCTTGAAGCCGTTTTTCTGGCAAAGGGCGAAGTCGAAGCAGGACTCCATGCGGCAGCGGCGCCCGCGGTAGAGGCCGGCGCTGGCGTCCCGCCGCTGCCGGGGGGAGACGCGGGCGCCGCCGCCCTCGGGGCCGGGCGCGAAGGGCCGCAGCGCGTCGGGGAAGCGGGGCCAGGGCCGCTCGGCGCCGGGGCCATGCCGGCTGCTACCGGGCGGCGCGGCGCGGCGCGGGGCGCGGGCTGCCCGCAGCTGCACGCCTCCGAGGTAGAGCAGCAGGGCGAGACAGGTGCCGGCGGAGAGCAGCGTCAAGTAGCGTTTTTTGGCCTGCATGTGTCCGGCGGGGGTCCGGGGGGCTGCGGAGGAAGGCGGGGGCGGCCCGAGTTCGCCGGGCGCCGCTCTCAGCTCCGGTCCGCCATCTTCCCGCCGGCAAACACTTCAAACTCTCTTCGCCCACCTCCGCTCGGCGCCTTTCCCCAAGCCGCGGGCTGGGGCTGCGCATGTGGGCGACCGCCGGAACTTTTCGCCGCCGCTCTCTCAGGGGCGGCGGGCGGCGGCGGGCCGGCGGCGGCCCGGCGGGGCGCCCCGCATGCACTCAGGGGCCGGCCCCCCGCGCGGGGCGGGCACCGGGGCAGCCCCGCTCCCGCCTTCCCGGCCCTCTCCTCCGCCACGCTCCCGCCTCCCTCCCTCCTCCCTCCCGCCCGCCCTCCCTCCCCTCTCCGCCGCCGGCTGCCGGCCCGGCGGGGCGGCCCCAGCGCTCACAGCCGGCGGGCGCCGCGCCGCAGCCTGACGAAGCCCTGCATCGCCCGGCGTCCCCCGCCCGGCCCCGGCGCCGCTCGCTCCTCGCCGCGCGGCCCCCGGGATGCGGCGGCGGCGGCTCCCGATCCTCGCCGCCTCCTTCTCCTCCTCCTCTTTCTTCCCCGCCCCTCCCGCCTTCTCCCGCCTCCCCCGGGCCGAGGCTGCCGAGCCCCGCGCCCTGCCTGCACGCCCGCCCGCCCGCGGGCCGCGACCCCCGCCTCAGCCGGCCCCCCGCGCGCCGCCCCCACCCCGGCCCCGCCGCGCTGACCTCATCCAGCCACGCAGCCCCGCGCCCCCATTGGCGGGGCGTCACGTCCGGGGGGGCGGGGCTTCCGCTGCACCCATTCATAAGCCGCCGCCGGGCGGGGGGCGCCGCCGTGCCGCCGCCGCGGGGACGGGCGGAGGGGTGGCGGGAGCTGGTGTCCCCATCCGGGTACTGTAGTGGGGTTGGCTGCGCTCCTGCGGGCTGAGAGTCCTGTGGGGTTGGGCCCGTCTGTATCTGTGGCTGGGGGATTTCAGCAGCCCCGCGCGGTTCACGTTGCTCCGGGGGTCGGCTCGGGCCTGGCTGGGGTTGACTCAGCCCGCTGTTGCTGCCGCCCCCTGCCGAGCCGGCACCGTCGTGCTGCGTCGCCTCGGGGCTGGGAGCAGGCGCTCGGGGCAGACCGAAAAACAGGAAAAAAAATAAATAACAATAAATCCAAGATGAACGAGTGTGGCTGGGGGGCGGTTGTCCCAGGGCTATTGGGTAAGCGGTGCTGGGCTGTGCTCAGTGCCCGCCCTGCCCTCTGTTACCGCCGCCGCTTAGTGGAAGCGATCACCCAAACGCTTGAACGTACTTCTAGCGATGTTGTTGCACATCGTCTCTTCTGCTCCTTGGCACCTGGTTCTGTGACTGGCAGCCCGGTGTGCTGGGAAAGCCTTGTTCTCAAGGAGGCAAATCCATCTGTGACAAACCTCAGAGCAGGGCTGTAGGATGGGACAGGAGCATGGTAAGCAGCCCAGCTTGCTGCAGCTTTGCCCATGCATGAGCCACTCTGTGAGGGGCAATTGCACCCCCGGTGGGTGTGAGTGCCTCAGTCATGTGAGCTTAGCCACCGAGCATGATGGAGTGTGCTGCGGACCCCATTCTCTTTCATGTCCCCGGGGCTTCTGTTGTGTTTTCTTGTCCCCCTCCACTTCTGTGGAGCTGAGAAGAAATTATGTGCGTGGAGGCACTGTGCCTCTTCAGTGAGGAGAGGGACAGCCTGCTGTGGAGGGCACATTGCTGGCAGTGAATGGGGTTGGATCTGCAACTGGAGCTGAGAGGAGAGTGTTCCCTTCTGCAGTAATTCGTTTGTAGAAAGGACTGCTGAAGGAAGGAGGCCAGGGTTTGAAGCAGAAGAAAGGAGTGAGAATGGTAAGAAAATGTCATGTTCACGGAGTGAAGTGTTACTGATAGCTAGCAGAGATTTGGGTCTGGGGGGCAGAAGTTTTGGCCTGAGACGTGATGGTGAGGAAGCAGGATTAAATATTAATGTGCGTATTAACCCTGTAAGCCTTCCTTGCAACATTTGTCACAGCCCACATGCCAAAAGTGGGATGCTGCTGAAGAAAAAGAGGTCAGCTTCTTGAAAGGTGAACTCAGGCTGCTTGCAGAGGCACCTTCTGTCAAGTGCAGGAAGATGGAATCCCATTACTGTCTGCAAATTAAGCCTCTGGGGACCGGTCTCAAACAGAAAGCAGCCTGCAAGCTGTGCTGTCTGTGCCAAGAACTGTTGCAAGCTGATTTTGAGGATCGGGTGCAGGTGATTTTATGGCATGGAGGATCTCCTCACTGCCACAGGAAGGATGCTTCCTGCAGAGCTGTACCACACTGGAGGTGCTGAAGCCATTACCAGCTTCATAATATAGACTTAAGTTTTAAAATGTCTGGATCTGGACACAGGCTGAAATGACGTCATTTTACAACACAGTGAAATAAAACTCCCCAGATCACTGCTGCTCCACCTGTGCCATATGATTGCTGTGAGTGGGCCTGGATGGCATGGCACTGGGTGCACCTGGGGAGGTGTGTGTGTGCCCCTAATGGGGCTGTTAAGCTGTGGTAATCACTGCTCTTTCTGAAGACTGCCTTTACAAGCCTACCATCAGCTGCTGTTTGTTATTGTTGTGGGCATCACAGGTGCTGACAGAACCAGGAGGCCTGGCTGTGGCCTGACAAGGGCTACCGGCCCTTCTGACCCCAGTCCTTCACCTTTTGTGCCCTTCCACCTGTCCAATCTGCATTAGTCACCCCAAGCCAGTTTAAAGAGGTTAATCAGAGAGGGCTTTTTTTTTGGGCCTTCCTTCTGGTGACCAGGTGCAGGCTTTGATGCCTCCAAGTTGTAATTGCACGGAGTTCCCTGCTCAGCCACCACGTGACTTGTTGACTATGAAGTCCACAGTATCTTCCAGCTTTCCTACGTAAAAATTCCTTACTGCTTTGCACACTTGGATACACCTTCTTCGTACCTGCTGAGTAATATCCCTGACTCACCCAATGGACATTCCTCCATCTCCTTTGCCTCTAGGGTTCAATCTTGGGTCTTGGAAAATACTTTGAAATCCACATAAAACGCAAGAGGAAGTGCTGGAACGCTCCCATCTCTAACTGAGCCCCTTAGTTTTTAATCCAGTAACTGTGCTTAAAGTGTTTGCCTACATAGGACGCCAAAAGTGACCCCCATGTGTTCACCTTACTGAAACTGCTTTGCTCTGGCTCCTTGTAAGCAGGATTCAAGCACCTTCAACACTTGAACATCCGCTTGTTTCCTGCATTTTTGTTCACATGTCAATGCATGCATCATTTTTCACCAAGCTGACACGGGAGGAGCCACTTCAGGCTGACGCCCTGGCTTCAGGACCCATTACACTCCCCGCAGTGCCACGGATGTGCCTGGGGTCTAATTCAGTTGGCACCACAGTAAGCCTCTGTTAGGAAAATCCTCCCACACCTCAGGGAGGTTGCTTCAATGCTTCCCCCTGGCCGTGGCAAGCCGAGCACCTACACGTTACTCCTCCATGCCTTATTGCCCCACGAGAAGCACCTGGTTCCTACACCTCTTAGTAAATCTAACTCTCTGTGGGGTTGTAGACTTGCTCAAGTACCCCGCTCTCACCAGTCTGACCCCCTTTTTTTGTCTTCTTTTTTTCCACCTTGAGAAGTGCTGAGCTCTATCTCTGGCTTGGTGAGGCTGTGCAGAGCCTCATCTGGGCTAATGGTGCCGTTAGGCTGTCTGCGGGCCTTGGGTTTCCCTCTGAGAGGGGCTGATGGTGCTTCCCCGGCTGACAGGACAGTGAGTGATTTATCACTACTGCCGAGTGTGTTGTGATCCTTGGAAGAAAAAGCAGCATCAGAGCACAGAACAGCTGAGATACTTGGAAAGTCTCAGTGATAGGCATGCATGCTGTTAAACTGTGTCACCCATGGCTTAATTAGCTCCGACTGCCAGCCTTTGTGGCATGGATGCACTTGTCATGACCAAGTGCAGCCAGGGTTCCCAGAAAGCTGAGAAAACCTTACAAGGGCCTGGAGTCATGGCATGAGGAGCTTGAAGGAAAGCAGCATGGTTCTCATGGGTGCTCAGCACCCACAGATCCCACCTCGGGTGAGGTGAGCTGGGCGCTGGAATAGGCTGCCCGGTGGGCATGGCCCTTCAGCTGTCTGAGTTCAAGAGATGTTTGGGCAACGCTCTCAGACATAGGGTTTGAATTTTGGGTGGTCCTATGTGGAGCCAGGAACTGGACTCTGTGATCCTTGTGGGGCCCTTCCAATTTGGGATGTTCTATGATTCTAGATGTACACACAGGAGCTGTAGAAAACCCCTCCCCTGAGAGCTGTGGGAGAGGTGCTGACTCCTTGCTGACATTTCCCTACCTTCTAATGGAAGTAGCCTCACTCAGTGCTTGGTAGCACCGGGTTCAACTTTGGAAGGCCTTTCTGATGCCCACTCCCTGCTCTGTGCAGGTTGAAAGTTGGTTTACTCTGCCTCAACTCAGCCTTTTTCCTGGGGTTGTATTGCTTCACCAAAAAAGAACAAAGTGGGGGGAGTGGAAATGAGGGAAAAAAGGCACACTTTGAAATAGTAATTTGTGCAATGATAATAATGCATTAAAATAATTTCTCAGCTTGGAGCAAATTACAGTGATCTTTGCTCCACAAATTAATACTAGCATTATGGTTGTTTATCATGTCTTGGTAATATCACATGGGAATAAAAATATCAACTCTTACTCGTATAAATAGCTGAGATGTAACTGTTTGAGCTTCAGCACTGCAACAGCTGTTTCTCATGTCCTCAGAAATAATTGGTTGTTACAGAGGCTATTTAAGTGTAAGAAACTGACTTTGGTTTTATAATTAGTTTATTTTTAAGGAAAAACATAACTGCCCTTTGTTAAGGAGGTGAGGATTTTAGGTGGGGTGGAGGGACAGCCATTCAGGCACTGACTTACCGTGACATGAAGCAGACAGTAAAACCAGAGACTTTGTGACACTGAGTTACTAATCTCACAGCAGAGCTGTGCTGGAGGAAAGCCAGCTTTCCTGAGCTCGCTGTGGGGTCAGGCAGGATTCAGGATGGAGCAGGATGGCTGTGTGAAGTAGCTGTGCTAGCCATGATGGTAACGTTTCAGGGGTTCCTCAGGGCAGGTTCTGAGGTTTTAGTGCATACTTCCTTCAGCGTTAGGTCTCTGGGTGCAGCCAAATTTGGCAATACCTGGAGCCTACCAAC